ACAGGAGCAAGAACCCTTTAGATAAACTAAGGTTTAGGTTCTACTATATTTAAAACAATAACTAATATTTTCAAAAATTTTTAGAACCTTTCCTGGTAGATAAAGTTGTAGAAAGCGAATTGAACTAGAGGAATTACCCCATGCCACTGATATGAATCCACATCAAAGTTCTGCTTTGAAATGAAGTAACGCTTAGAAATGAAGTAAGATTTCTATTTAAATGTATAGCTTTATATGCATAAAAATTAGGTGATCATCAGAGGGAAATAAAGTAATTTTCAAAATCTTATTTAATTCATTTAATAAGACCATAAACCAAAGAAAATGAAAGATGCCAAGGAAAAGAGAAAATACACACCAACCAATATCAGGTTTCAACTCCTACTAGGAGAAAAAAACGAATGTTCAGTAAGATTTGAAAAGAGAATGAGGCCAATTCATTTTGATCCTGTGGCAATACTTTGAAGCTTACTTTTTAACCTAGTCTATTTTTCATTTCCAGATTCTATGAAAGGCAATATATGCAGAAAGCAACACCAATGGGAATTTGAGCATTTCATTTTCCCCAACTGTAGTGATGATTTGGATCTTACTTTTTCTGAAAGCATCTTTAAAGAATTCTTCAAGCTTTCTGGAGAACGCTGGCTTGCAGAATTAAGCAGTAGGTCTGCATGGATTGCTATAAGAGGTTGTAGTTGATTGATGTTGCTGAGAACTTCTTTTGCTTTGGCTGTGTTTTCAGGTGAATAGTAAATAAACTGGTATCCAGTACTGTAACAACAAAGATAATGGCAAGTTACAGAAAAAGCACAAAGAATTTGCAGCCCTTAATACAAGATGGCAAATGATGAACAGAACTCCAAATGTCTTATTTCCTACTGAACAGATAAGAACTGCTCTAAGATACTTTCGTGGTACCCTAAGAGTTTTAAGATGACCAGGATTCATTTTAAGACTAGTTAAAATAAATCTAGTTCTTGCTCAACCATCGGAAAGATTTTGTATGATTACATGTCATTTATTAGTATTCAAAACAAATTAGTTTTAATATTAATTACTAATGAACCCAAAGCTATGTTCCCACACAAGGAAAAGTGTGGTCCTTTATATTCAAGCCCATCTCAGTATAAATCCTGGCTTGTTATTTACTAGTTGGGTGACCTTGGGCAGCCTTCAGCTTTCTCATTAGTAAAGTGGGAATAATTATCTAAATAATTCTATGAGGCAGGTAAGGTTAGAGAGCATTCATATAACTTGCATAAAATAGTGCTTGGCACAGAGAAAGTGTTTTTCCCCCATGATAATGAGCATGGGGAAATGGATTTTAACAGCTGAGAAATGGGGAGAAAATAAATTAATGTCAAGTGGGCATATGGATAATGTTATGGGATAGAAAAAGAATATTTATAGCATAAAAAATCCATCATGTTACTTTATCACCATGCTTTTTGTTCTTTGTGATTTTCCACCTGTCTTGAGAAGAAATCTAACACTGATTGCTAATTGAAGAATTACTGACTTTTTAAATCATCATCTAGGAATTGATCAAGCATGTTATGGGAGTAGGGAATCCATGGAGTGAAGGAATCTTTGACCAGTTTCATTAGGAAAGATAAAGGAGACATTCCAGCAAAGCAATAAAAGAGCAGAACACTAGCCAGGAGAATAAAGGAGGGAAGTCGAGGTTGGTGCATGCACACGGTCGGCACAAACTTGCTTCTTATATCCTTTTCTACCCAACTGCACCACCTGTCAAAGCATTTTTCACAATAACTTACAGCCTATAT